TCCTTTCTGTGAAATGTATACCTAAGTTTTTCATTTTAGGGGTTGTTCATGTAAATGGTATTGTGTTTCTAAATTTCAAATCCCACTTGTCCATTGCTGGTATATGGGAAAAGGATTGACTTTTGCATAGTAACCTTGCATCCTAGGTTGCTTGGTTAATCGCTTATTAGTTCCAGGAGTATTTATTTTTTTGTGGGGGTCAATTCTTTTGGATTTCCTACATAGACAATCATGTCATTTGCAAACAAAGAGAGTTTTATTTCTTCCTTCCAAATCTGTGTATCTTTTATTTTATTTTCTTGCCTTGTTGTATTAGGTAGACTAAGGTAAGTGGTATTGTATTTTATTTCAAATTTCGATTGTTCTTTTTGGTATACAGAAAAGCAACTCTGTTTTCTTGCTCAGCCTGACCAGGGTTCATCATTTTTATCTATCTTTTCAAACACTCAGCTTCTGGTTTTGTTGATTTTTCCTGTTTTCAATTTCAGTGATTTCTGCTCTAATTTTTATAACAATTACTTATTCTAATTATAAACACAGGATAAAGTAACATGGAATCTAAAGTATATCTTAAAACATTTTTTTATAATATCTGTTAATATTTTCTAAGAAACAAATAGTGCTTCAGTCTACTTACAAGAATTTAATCTCAAAAATGATATGGTGTAAAATGCATAAATAATTAGCAAAATTCTTAGTAACTTGTAGAAATGTACTTTATTTCATGCAAAGCTACATAATTTTCTATATTTTAACAGCTAATCAATTATACATTTCAAAAAATCATTACATCACAATAAATTAAAATACTACAGAGCAATTCCAAGTCCATGAGTTTGTCAAAATCAAACTGAGAAAACCTTATACATAGATAAGGCCAAATAGCTCATTTACTTATAGGTAGCACTTTGCCACTTTTTCCAAATCAATTTGAAAATGGAGTGATTACCTGCAGAGAAAAATAGTGAAATCTACAATCCACTGATCAGATAGAAAAACATTTGTCACTACATATCAGGTAGTAATGGCTGATTAAGGATTATTTGGCATCATGCACCAAAAATGAACATAATGAACATTTTGAAAAATTATGATCAGATACATATTTGAAAGACTTATCTTTTATTCCACCTAATCCACTGAATTAGATAATCAGCATATACTTTATTAATGCAACACAGAAATTAGGCTTTGGTGTACTTTGCTTGGGTACTAATATATATTAAAAGAGACTGAAGAGATATAAGAACATTTCAAATTCACACTGGACTACTGAACTTTAGAATATTGCCCTAAGGAAATAGGTTTTGGGCAGAATTTATCTGGGAAGGATTTTTTAAATTACTTAAAAGAAATATTACAATTAGTTACTTACAAAAACATTTTATAAAAATTAAATACCAGGAAGTAACAACATCAATATCAGAACTTTTTAACGCTATAATTTATAAATATATATTAGATTACAGTAATTTAAAAGACAGTTCCACATGTTCCCTACCTTCTAAAATAAGAAAAATTCTTCAAGCATGTTTTCAAAATATGGAAAAAAACAAATCCATTGGATTGCTTTTAAAAAATACATACACAGTCTCTCCCCTACAATTTGGTGTAGCAAGTAGGGAAGATGCTAGCCAGCATTCTTTTGAGAAAGACAGTTCAAAGCGACATGGTTCATAAGATTTATGTCAATTACATCAACTCTCAATGTGTTGTATGGTCAGATTAATACATTTTACCCTTCATATGTCTGCCATAGTAAATAATATTGTGTTTCTAATCTGAAATTCCACTTTACATGAACTCTCTCTTTTTTTTTTTGCACTAAACACAGTAAAATCTCTTTTTGCAAAAATAATTTGAGATCAAGATAACCAACCACAAAAGAAAATATTTTCAGGAGAAAACGTTAATGCTCCCCAGGGAGTGTATCAAAAACAAATGATTAGAATATCAATATGAAAAGAGGAACGTGCCATTATCTTTGCTTTATTATAAACTTGAAATTATAACAAGGCTTCCATCAACCTTAATGGACTAATCTTTTGAAAATGAGAATAAAATTTAGGGAAATCAGGCTGAGCATGAAAGGAAATGCAGGTGTAAATATATTCATCCTTGTGATTTTCAGACATGGTCCATTCAAATCACAAGTATAAAACTCACAAAACTGAGCAGTGTGGATTATAATCACAGAGCTAATTTTTCCTTTAAAATACTATCCTAGAACATTCCCTAAACCTATTAAAGGTATAAAAAGTGAGGTTTGCTATTGTACATAAATGAAATTCCTTCATTAATATGCTGAAATACACTTACGAAAACATACATTGCCTTTCCCATCCACATTTACTTTCATTTGGGTACAAAAAGGCATAAATATAAGGACCAATAATCTAATCAAACAGCAGACTCCCAAAACAAATTAACTGGTGGCATTTCTTCCCAGAGGTTGGGACTGCCAGATTCTCGGATCTGTTTTTATAACTAAAGAACTATCGACTCTTTTCATTTAGCTCTTGTAAAACGAGGGGGCTCTTGCGTGATGACATTATCCCAAAGCCCTTGTATTCATTTGGTGAAAGAACAAATTCTAATAATTAGGCTTATATCTTATTTCTTATTTTAGTGATGACTTTTACAAAAATGCTCTATGGATAATAATACATTATTGATGGAGTAACAAAACTTAAGTAGCAACTTACAAGTGTTTCACGAAATTAGTAGATTATTAATTATTTTCTGCAATGATTACTTGGAATTACCAGCTTACTGAATATGCTTACCTAACAATTATTTAGAAAAATAATATAGAAAATTTAATCAGATTATCTATTATTATGTAAGAAAGACATCTGACTTCAAGAGGTAATTGCCAGAAGTAACTCAAGAAAAGTACTTTGCGTGTAAAGTATATTAACTTAGTAGTAATGTTTTACAGTAGATGCCATTACATTTTAATAAGGTTCTCAAAAAAGAACTCTCTTGTACTTACTACAGATTTTTATACAAGGTGGCTTACTTAGTCCCCCAGCAATAAACTGTCTTCAGAGATTAAATCATTACTTTCTGAACTCAAATTTACCAGGTAACCTTCCTATCTGATCATATATAAAATCCTGTAAGATAAATTCTGCTTCAAAAATTGAGTACTCTGGATCATGTAACCAAAATTATTGGGAAAATAACTCAGAAGTCATAAAGGGATCTACTGTTCATGAAGTATAATACTTTGATTATTCAAATAATTAAAAAATTAATAATAAAGGAAAGTAGTACATTCCCTTACATTTTCCTATCAATTTATCTTAGGTAACTATAAGTTATAAAAGTAACTGGATAATTTGTTCTCGTTTTCTGCTTCAGCTTCTACAATCACATCTGAGTTTTATGACAAAACCTGACAAGAAACAACGTTATACTTAAGAGAAATATTCCAAAGAAACCCTAAAACTAAATAATAAAACAGTACTATTTTCAGAGGACTTTTGGTGAATTTCCCAAAAGTTTCCACTTAGGGAACTTGTGGGGTTCTTTGTAATAATAAGAAACTGGATCCCTTTGTGGGATGATCATTTCCCATCCAACACCTTCAAATAGACTAGGAAAGACAGGACAGCGAACGACTGATTTTGTTTTCTTTTTAAACTCCACCATATCAACATCAACTCAACACCCTCACAATAGCTTTGTGAGGTAGATTAGTCAATAAATACAAGTATCATCCTCATTTTGCAAATGAAGAAACTGAGGCAGCAAAAGGTTACATGACTTCCCAAGGTATTCCATGGTCAATCATGAAATTACAAGCAGTATTAAATTATCTCTGCTCCTGGCCAATTTTGCTCTAACCACACTTCACAATAAAAGGCTGTGTATGTGTGATCTCAAATGGACACTCTATATGACCTTCGACTGAGAGTAAAATCTATCCATTGATAATTATGTTAAAGGGCAGCTAATCTCAAAAAAATCATAAAAATTTAAGAAAATTAGATAAATAGGATGATATACTTTCAGTATCTGCATAGAACTGTGTCTTTACAAATTCACATGATAACACTAAGTAAAGAGGAAAATTAAAATAAAAAATTATGATTCAGGAAGGATTACTTTCAAGGAACATATAATCATATTGTTAGAGTGACTATATAATTCATCCTCAAACTGGAATGCTTAAGAGTGAATGTGAGCACAGGACAAGTTCTCCTGGAAAAGAGGTTTGTAACTGAGACTGCGTGGGCAAGTTCAAGTACAGTCACCACTGGGTGAACCTGAGCATGGGTCCTCGAAGATGTGCGAACATTTCAGGGACATAAAAACCTCTCTGTAAACATGTTTTGCTCCTTTATATTCAGTGAGTAATGTGATGATTTAAAATATAACACCTAACTCTAACTTAACCACAAAAGTTAAAAAAATCAATTAAAAATAATTAGCATGTTTAAACCAACAAGTTATTACATACTAGAGGTCCAGTGCATGAAAATTCATGTACTGGAGTGGGGGTTCCTCAGTCCGGCCTGCCCCCTCTCACGGTCCAGGAGCCCTCAGGGGCGGGAGGCCACCTGGTGATTGGGGGAAGGCGATACCCCATCACACCTCTGCAGCTGCCACTGCTGGCAGCGCAAGCCTCGGCCGGTCCTGGTTACCTGAGCCTCGGGCGGCCCTGGGTGGCTGGGCAGCCGCCATCCAAGGCTTGCTTATTCCTTGGGTTGGCCCTGGGCGGCTGGGGGGCTGAGGGGACTGGGCACCGACAACTTGTGGCTGTGGTGCCACCACCTTTGAGGGTTGGGCAGTCAATTAGCATATTCCCTCCTTATTGGCTGTGGGCACCACCATCTTTGCAACAGCATGAGGGTCAATTAGCATATTCCCTCTTTATTAGATAGGATTTCCATTCTAATATATAAACATAACTCATTTTATTGCGCTATGCCTTATTGCATCCTAGAGATGTTACGGTTTGGGGGTTTTTTTGTTGTTGTTTTATTTTATTTTTTTTTTTACAAATTAAAGGCAATACCCTCCACCAGCAAAAACATTAGACTCACTTTATTGCTGTGGTCTGGAACCGAATCCACTATATCTCCAAGGTATGCCTGTAGTTTTCTGTTTGCTATAAACCACAATTTAAGTGTTATTAGTAGTAATAACAGAAAATGGATTAACTTTTTGCCTATGAAGAGCCAGATATTCTTTTTCAAAAAGCATAAATATGCACCTTTAAATATTAGAGAATTTTGTGGGACTCTTTGGTTATCAAAAAACAACAACACTATTTACCATTATGTGTATGATTCTCCTTAAATGGAATAATAAAGACTTAAATCAACATGCTCAATGAGAAAGGTGGACACTTCTCTCTGAAATGAACATCTTTTACAAGGTATAACAAAGCACTGGCAGCTTCCAGTTACTACCAAAGACTAAGAGTTACACTTCGCCCAGTTACCACACACGTGCTGCAGACACCAGCACTGTCACTGAAGTATAGTCTGAACTGTACATGCAAAGACCCCACCAACACGCATACAGAGCTGGAAAAGAACTTTTTACACCTACGTATGTCTGGTAAAAAAGCCTTGTTTTACAACATGGGTTTTGTAAATATGGTTATCGTGGTCTTCAATTCCTTGGGAAATACAAGATTAACACATTCTTTAGAAATAGCAAAAATGTTAATCAAAATAAAGCGGTATAATATTATAGTTTGACTTAGGGCTTCCTTGGAGCTTTAAATCAACTTTCCTGAAAAAAATAATATGAAACAAATTGAACTACATGTTCTCAACACACACTGATCTTTATCATGAATGAAATCCCTCCATGAATTAACTGTACTCCAAACTAAGGCAGACACTTCAGGAATGGTATGTGATAAATTCTATTAGAAAAGATGATCCTCTATTCAATGGAGCATGAACTATTACTAAGATGTGACTGATTTTCAGTGCCTTTTGTTTATCACTGAGAGTACAGTGTACATTTTAGGGTATACAGATATTCATAAAGACTGAACTGACTGGCTTGGGTTAGTTATTCCATGAATTCTTTCAGACTTTAAACATCATCAAATATTCTGCTGCGAGACATCGAGAGGTATCGTCCACCGGGTTGATACCTGAAAGGTGGATAAAAATATGATCTAAGATCAAAATAATAGAGGAGAGAAAAACGAGGACACATTCAAAGGAAGTGACTAAATAATCTGTAAGCACCGTAATATCTACTCAGTAGCTGAAAGTAGAAACCTATTTTCCAAGGATATTATCCCAATTAACATCAATTAACAACTATCTGTTTAGAGCCTAGAATGCATGAATCACAGGCTGAGAGATGTAAAAGGAAAGGGGTGGAGAGATGTAAAACACATTGTGGAACTTAAAGCATTTAATAACCACTCTTGAGTGTTAAATGTAAATAGAATATCTTCATGTATATGATATTTTGTTTTTATCTATTCCCCACATAGTATCACGGCTAAAAGCACAGAGTCTGTAGCCAGAGTCCTCGGGTTTGAATACCTGACTTTGCCATTTACAAACTGTGTGATGCTGGGTAAGTTACTGAGCCTCTCTAGGTACAAATCCAATTGGATTTACAACCATAAAATACAATATAATTGTAAAAGTGCTTAGAATACTGTCTAAGACCCAGTCATAGCGAGGAGGCTGTTGTTAAATATGATAAATTTCATAAATGAGATTGTCAGAAATAGACATTGTTAAGACTCTTACTATCAATGTGTAATGTCATTAGCAGTTTACTAAGATTTCAGTTACCATCACTGAATGCTATAATTTTAAAAATAGGAAAACATTAGAAAGTATAAAAAGGCATCAAAGTTTGCTTAATATGCTTTTAAAAATATTTTTATTGCCCTAACCTGTTTGGCTCAGTGGACAGAGCGTCGGCCTGCGGACTGAAGGGTCCAGGTTCGATTCCAGTGAGAGTCATGTACCTTGGTTGTGGGCACATCCCCAGTAGGGGGTGTGCAGGAGGCAGCTGATCGATGTTTCTCTCTCATCGATGTTTCTCTCTCTATCCCTCTCCCTTCCTCTCTGTAAAAAACCAATAAAGATATATTTTAAAAGTATATATCTTTATTGGTTTCAGAGAGGAAAGAAGAGGGAGAGAGGTAAAAATGATGTTGATCATTCATCAGCTGTTTCCTGCATGCCCTATACTGGGGATCAAGCTCACAACCCTGGGCATGTTGACCGGGAATCAAACCATGACCTCCTGCTTCATAGGTCAACTCTCAACCACTGAGCAACACTGGATGGAATGAATATGCTTTTTTTAGTAGTAAAGATGAACATTTTCCTTATGTTTATTTATCTCATCAGGCCAGTATGTTACTAAGATTTCAGTGGCATGCTGGAGCCAACATGACACAGCTAGAACTTACCTTCCTGATTCAGATTCAAGAGGATCATCAGTAAATGCTTCTGCATTAAAATCCAAAGGTTCTACATCTTGTAAGAGTTCTATTCGATCCCTTTCAGTCCTATTATTGGCTCTCGTATATTTAGATGCTGCTGCAAAAGAAGAAAAAATAATATGTTTATTTTTCTATTGTCTTTATGGGTCACAGTCTATGAACTCACAGAAAGAAAAGTCAAAATTATAAAAGATCTTGATTTTGATTGTGACAACAGTATTAGAAAATGATAACTACATGGTTCCTTATAATCAGATTAAAATGATAAATAATATGATAGGAAACAAGGAAAAATCCACCCTTATCGCTAGTCTAAGCTCAGAAGCAGCTACAGTGCAAAGACTTAATTACTATGAAGGAGTTAATATTTAACAATAGTATCATAACAATAAAATTACTCATAATCAAATCAAGTTTCAGTTGGTTTTACAGTTGGTTTTATAGGGGCTGCTACACCTCATTTCTTGGCTAAAATTTTCTTTAAGATATACTCAACTCCAGCTTTTTTTTTTATTGAATTTACTGGGATAACATTGGTTACTAAAATTATACAGGTTTCAGGTATACAATTCTATAAAACATCATCTTATATTGTATTATGTGTTACTTGACTTGGGGTGGTAAAAACACACTCAACTCCAGCTCTTTAAGAAAGGCCTGAACTATGTAATTTTATTAACTAATGTCACCCCAGTAAATTCAATAAAAAAAGAAGAAGTAATAGGCAGGCCTGAATCTTTTCCCCAATAGGGCAGCAATGTCCAACCAAAATGAAATGCCAGCCCCATATTGGCTTTTAATTATTCTAGTAGCTACATTAAAGAAGTAAAATGAAACAGGGGAAATTAAGTTTAATATATTTAATTTAACCAAATATATCCAAAATATTATCATTCATCATGGAGCACCAGCCACACTGCAAATGCTCGACAGTCACACGTGACTACTGGCTCCATCCTGGTCGGCACGGACCCTCGAGCACTAACTCTCTGTCCTGCGTACTGAAGGGGTTTTCTTCACTAACAATAAACTGTCACAGTGTAGCTCTGAGCAGCCCAAGAGCTACGATAGAGTTCTTTTTGATCATATCTTTCATTTTTGTCATCTTGGACTCAACCTGTCATCTTTTCTCTCATTCATTCAGCAAATACTGGTTGCCTACCACATGCCAGGGTCTCTCTAACTCGTCACCTTAACCTCTAACCATTCTTCCACACTCTCAGATCCTTGCACCGCTGACTCCTATTCGATGGTAGGCAAGCTTCCAAATCTTTTTGTAAAATCCTCCCTCTATTCCTAGCTTTAACTAAACTTTAGCTCTTCCCTCTTCCTTCTGCCCTAAGTGTCCTTCAAATCCATCCTTTCCTCTTTATCTCCAGGGTCTCTGCTCATTAGGGTCCCAATCTCTGTAGCCTTCCCTCTTGTCAGGCTCCTCATACTTAGGCTCTAATCAGAGAAAAACTTGCATTTCCCCAAAGGTTCTCTCCTGTCCCTCATTAGTCCTTCTGCACCTTTACCTGGCTAGAGTACTATTCATTTGTGAACACTCAGTTAAGTACTTCTTTATGACAGAAATCCTTCCTCAATAGAGAATTTCTCCCACCACCTGAGCTGAGTTCCCTCAGCATCTCCCTTAAAAACGGTGCTGGTTCTGCACAAACACAGGCTTCCCGCCACCTTTCCAGGGGCAGATGGTAGGATTAAGGACGTAGGGAGGTTTCTTAACTCAACCTACTGACAAATGTCTCTGGCCTGGCATCAGTCCCTCAATACGCTGTGAGCACCTGGGAAAGTGCCCGACATACAGGGGCCAGTCAACTACTATAAACACTAGAGGCCCGATGCACAAAATTTGTGCTAGGGCCTCAGCCCCGCCCACCATGGCTTTGTCCAAAAGGACATTCAGTCTAATTAGCACATTATGCTTTTATTATTATTATTATAGATGATTGAATTGAGGCTTAAGTCTACTAATAGAAAAGAAAAGAAAAACATCAAGCCTGGCTGTCTGGCTCAGTGGTTGAGCATCAACCTATGAACCAGGAGGTCATGGTTTGATTCCCAGTCAGGGCACATGCCTGGGTTGTGGGCTTGATTCCTAGTGTGGGGTGTGCAGGAGGCAGCCAATCAAAGATTCTCTCTCATCATTGATGTTTCTATCTCTTCCCTCTTCCTTCCTCTCTGAAATCAATAAAAAATATTTTGAAAATAAAAACAAACAAAATAATCTAGGTAAATAATGGAAATCCATACCTGCCTACACTATGCCTGGGATAAGTACTATTATTTAGGGTAGTACAATTACAACTGCTCATCTGTATTCCAGATGTCCCCTTTTCCTGCCGGAATGCACATTGAGATTCCCTCCCTCTAGTACACCAGAGCAGCGGTTCTCAACCTGTGGGTCGCAACCCCTTTGGGGGTCGAACGACCCTTTCACAGGGGTCCCCTAAGACCATCGGAAAACACATATATAACTACATATTGTTTTTGTGATTAATCACTATGCTTTAATTATGTTCAATTTGTAACAATGAAATTGGGGGTCTCCACAACATGAGGAACTGTATTAAAGGGTCGCAGCATTAGGAAGGTTGAGAATCACTGCACTAGAGGATGGAAACAGAAAGTCACTGGAGAAGCACATTTCTGAACAGACGTCACCATCCTCAGTCTACACAGGCAAGAACAAGAAAAAACACACAGACAATAAACTACTCACATCGGGTCGTACTCATTTCTGAAAAATTTGACTCTTTTGGGTCAACATGAACATTTCTGTTTCTAGTGGAATCTTCTCTATTGTGTCCATATCGTTCTTTCCATTCCTAGGAAAGAAACACAGATGAATATATAACAAAAGAACTCACAGGCAGAAAATGTAATTTAATTATTTTCATCAGAAATTCATCACATAATCAGTGTAACTAGCATAGTGCCTTTAAAAATCATAGGTCAATAATTTTTCTTATCGCTACATGACTTTAAGTTTCCAAACTTAACTTTTACAAATGGATTTGCTAGTTATGATTATTGTGTTATTTAATTCTTCTATCTAAAATGTCAAAACAATATTACACCTACAATAAACTTACCTTGACAATGTAGATGTTATGAGAACTCCTGATAACTAATGAGATGTTAACAAAATTTTCTTCCCCCTGAATTAACTATGAATTTAGAGCCTCTAAACACATGTTTGATAGCAAAATTAAAGCTATAAGCAAAGATAATTAGATAATGACTCACATGGCATTGTGTGTGGTCTGAACGTCACTAAAACCATAGTAACTAGGAATCAACCCTTTAAATTCTTAGACTGGAAAGGGACGTGGGAGGTCACCTAATTCACCTCCCATGCAGTGCAGGGTTTCCTTCTAAAGTAGCCATGAAGATGCTTTTCGGCTCTCTTCCTAGGTGACATGAGATGTCTGTGCACGATCACTCCTGGTACACATGACCATTCTCAGAAGTGAACTCCATCTCCAGTAGCTTCCACTCCTTGGTTCTAGGCATGACTCCGAAATAAAGCCCAAGTCTCCTTTCCCACAACACACACTCGGCACGTGAAGACAACAGCATGTCACCGCGCCTTCACCCCTCCAGCTCAGCACACCTACGTGCTGAAAATCTGTCGTGACTGGGACTAGCTTTTCTCATTTTTTGCCTTTTCACTCTCTAGGAGGCTAATTAGCCTCAGCAAACAGAAGACTGAAGAAAAATTAGAGATGGATAAAATTAGTGTCATATTATGAAATGTATAATTTTAAATCGATCAAAGTTACTTTCATAGTAAGACTGCATGAATGTATTCATTCATTTAATAAAAAATTATTTACTGAGCATCTACCTTATTCAAGACACTGCTAGATGTTGGACATGAAATTATCACTGATAACTTGTTAAAACATGTCTGACAGGGCACCTAGCATGTATATCTGAAACTAGTAAAATTATCTTTCTTTAAAAATGTATCTCACGTCTTTTCTAACTATTTTCTGGTCTCTAGCCAATTATTCTAAATCAGTATGATTTTTTTGATATTTGACATCAGTGGTTAGGATACAGCAATTTAGTAAGTACTGTACTCACTCTTCTTCGATTTTCACCTTCTTCTTGCCTTTGCCTTTTTCTCTTCTCTAGAGAAGAAAAGTCATTTCAAATTTGGTATAACATGACTTAATTAGAAGCAGAGTAACTAAGTAAAGGTATCAGGTTATGACCAATTTCCTTTAAATTACTACAAAGTCAAAGGTAAAAGGTTATGAAGGAAAGGGCCTTAGAGATCACCTAACTCCACAGAGAGCACCTTCTCTACTCTTGCTGGAGATGGCCCTTTAGGCTGTCCAGTTTCAGTGACAGCCTAAAGTTCTTCTCCATGGTGACTGGAAATTTGCTCCTCTGTAACTTCTCTTTTCTTTATGTCCTATCTTCTAAATTAAGTTCATATTTCTTCCTGCATAAGAGTCTTTAATCTTACTTTCTCACTAGAGGCCTGGTGCACGAATTTGTGCATGGGTGGGGTCTGGCCGGCCTGCCCGATTAGGGCCGTTTGGGACTGGGCCAGCCAGGGGAAGGGGCCACAGGGAGTGGTGCCGGCCCCACCCTCAATCAAGGCCCAATTGGGGCCGGGCCAGCAAGGGGGGCGGGGCTGCAGGCCTCTCATAGTCCAGGACCCCTCACTCCTTACCTTTTGCCTGCTCACTGCTCTTTACCACTTGGCTCGCTGCCCCTTAGCGCTGTCGCAGAGGTGGGAGAGGCTTCCGCCACCTCCACTGTGCTTGCCAGCCATGAGCCCAGCTTCTGGCTGAGTGGTGCTCCCCCTGTGGGAGTGCACTGACCACCAGGGAGCAGCTCCTGCATTAAGCATCTGCCCCCCTGGTGGTCAGTGCACATCATAGCAACCAATTGTTCCACCGTAATAGCCGCTTAGGCTTTTATTACATAGATATATGGCTTTTATATATATAGATGGCTATATATTCAGTGGTTGCTTGTTGTTGTTTTTCTTTTTCCCATAAGACATGCTTTACAGACTACTAATTCTGTCCTCTAAATACCTTCTGATTTACCATTTTTACTCTTGAAAGTCTTACCCAGACTGGATATGATCCTCCAGATGTGGTCTAATTAATGCAAAAAGCAACAGAGCTATTACATTAACTAGACACCCCTCCCTATAAGAGCATGGAAGGCTACCCTAGCTTATTTTAGAGCCATAACCAATTTTGGCTTACATTCAACTAGTGATCACATAGAAGCCCAGACCCAAGTAGGGAGAGTAACGTTGTCCAAAACTTAAGTTTTACTTTTCCTTTTTTCCTATCCTACCATCCCTTGAACATCAGGGAACTTGATGCATTCAGTTTTGAGATTAGCTTCTAGGAGAGGGCCATATATTCTAAAAACCACCCTTGGACTGAATATCCCTATTCAGTCTTAAGCTGATGATTTTTTAAATTAATAAGCTTTACAGATGTACTAAACTTGCATATCTGTCTCAAAGCAAACCTGAAAATGAGTCCAACACTGTACAAGGGCATTTTTTAGCTGCAGACATACTACATAATTTCTACTGCAAAATTTCCTGAAGACAGATGAGAAATCATTTGTTTTCTAGTTATTTTTACTATGAAGACTTTATGTAGGTTTTTAGCTAAAAATATTAATTTGTAATTTCCCAAGATAGAATAAATATTATAAATTAACAAACATTAATTCTAATTCTGTATTTGGAGTCTTACACTCTTCCTTCATTTATTTAAAAAGACAAATCTTACCTCGCCTGATTAATTCTTTTCCTTCATCAACTAAGTCTGAGGTCATATCATTATCTCCCATGAACTGCTGGAAACCAAGTAGATTCAAACAACGAGTTCCCAAACTAGCAAAAAAAGGAGATTTTTTAAAAAGCATTATTTCACAGTGTAACTGTTTAGATAGCTATTTTTTAGTGCTGTCACCCTCAAAGAAGCCTATGTTTTATTATTAATCATCATAGCAAGTTACATAGAGTTTCATTTGTCTTTAAGAAGTACTTAATCCCTTTCTAAGGAGCTTATATGTCACGTAGTTCACTGACTAGGGTATGCCACATACCCAGATTTCTTAAGAAAACAAAGCCACTTAGACCATTAGCATATGTTAAGAAAAGTATTATAGAAGGATGCTAAATAATAACTATAATATAAAAGCAATTTATTATTTTCTTATATTCAAACAGCAACTTTAATACTACTGCTTCCTTATATTTAAGATTTTATAGTTGAAAAAGCACTATGCCACCCATCTATTACTTGATACATATCATAACCTAATAAGGTAAGAAGAGAGGCTACTCTTACCAAAACAGCTACTAACATGAAAAGAAATAATTTGTACATCACAAGCTCTAATGTTCCATTAATAGTTTTAGAAACTTTTTAAGTGACTAAGCATATAATCAACTTAGTTCTGGACAGCCAAAGGATGACTGTTTTCTTCCTTTAATACACGCTTTTCACAGTATAAACCTAAGTCTTTTCTACCTAACAGCAAAAACTCAAAACAATAGATTTATTGTCAGTTCATATTAACAGTGTTATCTTAAATTATAGAAAGGTACAATATAGATATTTTTAAAATCCAATAGACAATTTATTTCACACAATATTGTCTATGTACTCATTATCCTAATGTTAGTACATACGTATTACCTGTAATAACCTTATAATGGTATTAGAAGATTTAAGTAAAAAATCATGGGATGCAACTTATTTTTGTTAGAAAAGCAAACTGATTAACATCAATCAAACATTTTTTAAAAAGCAGCACTCGTGATATGTCATGGAGCATTCAAGCAGTGAAGAGGGTAGACAGAGTACAGGAGGAGAGCACCTAACATGTGGAAGCAGGGCAGACAGTGCTAAAAGCCAAGCACATCTGTCCTTTGAGTCTAGGTCTTACCTCTAAGAGTCTATCAATTCTGCTAATCTTATGAAAAGAGGAGCCCGTGTACTTCCCAGCCTTACATGTGCTGCCTGATTGCAATCACTCTTCATCTGACCTTCTGGGCTGGCTATGATCTGAAGCATCTAGAAACCCAGGAATGATTGTGGGGAAAGCCCTAAGCCCAATTTACGTTACTGGTCAGAAGCCGAGCATGGGGTGTTTTATAAGCTACGAGTGGCCCGGTGCACGAATTTGTGCACACTGAAAGGAAATTAATTAGAAGAGATATTTTAATATTGCTATTCACCCTTTCTCTATAATAGAAGTGTCAACCAAATTCACAATTGACAATAACAGATGGAAACACATGTGTGCGATTGGTGCCAGCGAGAGCTTTATATGTATCACACATGCATGAGTCAACTTAGCCTTTTATAGAGAAATGTTTTCACCTGGCTATAAAGCCAGTTGTGTTCCTGGGCGGAAGAAACTGCAAGGAGGCTAGTCACTAGGGAGAGGAAGCCGGGCGTTACTACATGATGTCATTACCTGGACGGGCCCTTAGCATATTAGCTTTTTATATATATAGACTAGAGGCCTGGTGTACAAAATTGTGTGCGAGTACGGTCCCTAGGCCTAGCCTGTAATCAGGGCCATCTTCCCCGGCTGCTGGCAGCCGGCCCTGTGCCCCCGCTGCCAACCACTTTGGTTCCCCGTTCGCCATCAGCGATGGGAGCCTGCCGGCTGGGTGGAGGGGCCAAGAGGTTGGCTGTTCCGCCCGCTCGCCAGTCCCACCCCCACCCCGTGGGTCGTCCTCTGTGTGTGGGGTGACTGGTGGGGCAGGGACCTTGGCCTGGTGCCACCCACATCCCCACCATTCATCCCCGAGTCCTCGTTCACCATTGGGCGATGGGAGCCTGCCAGCCGGGGAAAGGGACCAAGCGGTGGAGAGTGCACCTCATAGTGACTGGTCCAGCGGTCATTCTGCCATTATGGTCGCTGGGCTTTTATAATATAGGATACTTGGCTGTCAGTGTTGAAGGCCAGGGCTTCAAGTTAACACTCTGTAACTAAGTATTTGTAATGAATAACTCTACCTCTCTTTTCCTGAGAATATCTTCATAGAAAAAGCCTTACTTCATCACTCAAGCAATCCCTTTAAACTATCCCCAACATCCCCAAAGCCACAATAAAACAAACAACCAGAACCCAAGCAATGAATATTTAAAAGAGTTATAAGAAGGATACCCAAATAAGGCTAAGAGTATGTGGGAAAATAAACGATGCTAATTTTCTTACCTAAAATAAGTAGCAATGCAGAGAATTACTACCAGCATAGGATAATATATATAGAATCCATCTGCAATAAAGGATAAAACTTTCATGGAACCCATAATCTGAAAAGAAAGGCAAAAGTAGAAAAAAATAAGTTAAATTAGTACAGAGTAGTCCCCCTGATATTTTATTTTTTCCGTCATTAGAGAATTCACACATAGCCAGTTATATAAATAAATACGGGCTTTTGAAAAAGTATAAATAAAGCACTAAATGAACTGATTTTTAAATTCTTATCACAAGAAAAGAAATTGTTACTGAGGTGATGAATGTTAACTAAATTGACTGTGTAATCATTTCTCAATATGTGTATATTTCAAACCATGATGATGTACAACTTAAGCTAATACAATGTCATGTACTGATTATATCTTAATTTGCTTACTTTAAAAGGTTTTCCCCTAAAGAAAGTTAATATTTTATAAGCATTACTGAACATTATCATATACATTAAGACTAGAGATATAAAAGTCCCTATTATTATAGGTCAAGTCTATTAATACTACCAGATGATCTATGTAAACCAGAAAACACACTTTTTTGTAATAAAAGAAAGCAAAATCACTTTCATCCAGTCATCAGCAATTATATATATAACATTTAAAAGCCAGTTTTAGTTATTTTAAAAAGATCCAAATAATGCTTTAGAACTTTTCTGAATTAAAAATTTTATCAGTGCCCTGACCAGCTTGGCTCGGTGGATGGAGCGTCGGCCTGCGGACTGGGGGGTCCCATGTTCAATTCCGGTCAAGGGCATGTACCTTGGTTGCAGGCACATCCCTGGTAGGGGGTGTGCAGGAGGCAGCTGATTGATGGATCTGTCTCATTGATGTTTCCAACTCTCTATCCCTCTCCCTTCCTCTCTGTAAAAAATCAATAAAACATATTTTAAAAAAATTTTTATCAGTAATAACATCCCATATAGACTATGAATCTAAAGAACTCTGCTTGCTGACCATACTTACAGAAGTATAAGCAGTTGGTTGCGTATTTTGGTGAGAGATGGAGGAATCCATATGGGTCAACCCCAAGAAATTAAGACATAAAGGAGGAGTCAAACGGCAAAATAACCTGCAATAAGAATTTATAAACAGAATATGTAAAAAGAAAGCAGCAAAATACATTTTATATTATATTGAAATGTACTGAGAACATTTCAGATCATTGTAACTATTACTTTCATCTATCTGTATTATATATCTTTTGAATTATTAAAGTGAAACTCCCTTACTTACTTGGAAGATATTCTGAACATACTATTAATCACATCTTCCTTAAAAATATCAACACCTACAAGGCAAAACTCCAGTCTCAGGCTGCCCACTTTGGTAATGTTTGCTGCTGCTTTATCCCAAGAACTGGTGAAGTGCCTTTGGATGCACCTCTTCCAAGTCTACCATCTGTGCCATCTCTCAGCAGCATGACGAGGACGGTAACATCCTCAAGGTGAACGTGCTCATATATGAAAGATCTGAAGCTGTATCAAAGTACGCAATCTGGTAACTTAGGCATAAAGAACTGTTAGAGTTCAAGCTGTCCAGATAAAAAGAGAACCTTACAGAACTACAGAGTTGAAGAGAGGAGAGAGGAACATGAAGAGAGAGAGAGTGAAGGGATTAAGAAGTGCAGATTGAGCCGAAACCGGTTTGGCTCAGTGGATAGAGCGTTGGCCTGCGGACTGAAAGGTCCCAGGTTCGATTCCGGTCAAGGGCATGTACCTGGGTTGCGGACACATCCCCAGAAGGGGATGTGCAGGAGGCAGCTGATCGGTGTTTCTCTCTCATTGATGTTTCTACCTCTCTATCTCTCTCTCCCATCCTCTCTGTAAAAATCAATAAAATATATTTTTTAAAAAAAGAAGTGCAGATTGATAATTACAGAACAGTCACAGCGAAGTAAAGTACAGCATGGGGGATATGGTCAATGTTGTAATGACTACATGTGTGGGCCAGGTTGTATTTGGGGACTACTCTGTAGAGTACACGATTATCTAACCAGGATGCTATATATCTAAAACGAATACAGAATAATATTGAATGTCAACTGTAATTGAAAAAAAGAGAGGTAATATGAGGGATGTGGTGATAAAATATAGTTTCCCCAAAAATGTATACACACACTTTCAGAATTATAAAGGCAGTGTTTATTAAAATACATTTTATTTTCAAAATTGAGCTATCAGCTGTTAAAATGTATATACTTTTTTTTTGGGGGGGGGGTGGTGTCACCCTGTAGTTGTGGTTATAGGAATCTACACAAACACACACGAATAAAGGATAAAAATAGTGAGAATTAAATAAGGTCTGTTGTCTAGTTAGTAGTAATGTATAAATGTAAATTTCCTGTTTCTGATATTGTAGAACAGCTAGAGAAAGTGTCCCCACTGGGGAAAACTGGGGGAAGGTTGATAGGAGAACTCTTTGTATTACATTTGCAAGTTCCTATGAATTTATAATTATTTGGGTAAAAAGGTTAACAAAAAAGCCTTAGAGATACTTTCCTTATTGATTCCTCTGCAAACCTGCCTAGTCCAGCCCTTATGAATATCCAATATAACTAATTTAACAACATGGACGAATAATAGATGGTGCAGCCTAGCCCAAGCTAAAGTTCTCTCTCAAAACTCTTGCTAAATTTCTTGGCAAAAATTATTCCTGTTGTTTTTCTCAGTCCTCTACACTTCAGTTTGAGGCCACTGAATCTCAGAATACTCCCTAGGTCTGATTTAGTCTCTAACCTCTCTCATGTTCTATATTTTACTAATCTACTTATGCAATCTCTAATTGGTAATCCAAGTTCACTATGTCTTTCTTTTTCATCCTAATCTAACATCCCCATTTTAACCTGAACCTTCAAGCAGTATTTAGCTAGCAATCAACAAATATCTAATTAATATTTACACTTAATCAATTAGCTCAGAGAAATACAGATGTTAGTGGAAAACCGATAAACAAGAAATAAAAGAGAACTCAATAAGGATGTATGCCATGAAGACACTTCCCTTGTTTCTAAATACAATCTACTTACATGCCACTGAAAAGAAGGCTGTACGCATCTGTCTGGTGATGTGAAGCCAAGTAGTAATAGTTAAACACACGAATCCTGAACACAGTAGAATAAACACAGATACTTAGGAAGAAGATGGAAAGGAAGCAAGCAATCTGAAAACAAAAAACAAAAACAGATTAAGACAATGGACTCTATACCCTTTCACAGCCTTATCCTTTATTTCTGGCTAACATTTGACATTCTAAAATTTAAATACTGTAACAAATTTTTTAAAATATATTTTTATTGATTACAGAAAGGGAGAGGGAGAGAGATAGAAATATCAATGATGAGAGAGAATCACTCATCAGCTGCCTCCTACACACCCGCTACTGGGGATCTAGCCTGCAACCCAGGCACGCGCCCCGACCGGAAGTTGAACTAGGGACCTTTCAGTCCGCAGGCCAACGCTCTATCCACTTGAGCCAAACCAGCTAGGGCTACTGTAACAGATTATTTTTTAGCTATTTAATAAAACGAAAGTATGCGAAAAATTCTACATCTTAACCATTTTCACATTTTATCCCAAAATTTCAAAACTATCTCCTGAAGTGAGCCTGCTCTCCCATTCCCTGGGCAACTCCCCCATATGACGACTATACGCTATGTGGCTTCGCTGGCATAAAAAGAATGCAAGTATTCCCAAAAGGGTATTTTGCACTAGTTTGTATCTTGTCATCTGTCCTGAGATACAGTTCTTAGTTTTTATAGTCTGGGTAAATTAATGAAGCTTTTTTTTGAAATGTAAATTAATAACTTCACTATTTGCATTATTGCTAGAAGAAATAGATGGAGAAAAGATACTACAGTTAAGGGTTATACTATGAATGGACAATTATTAATAGCAGATACAAACTGACCTCGATATAAATATAATTGTATGTTTTTTCAGCCAGCTGTATGAAGACTGCAAAGAGGGATAAGACAGGTGTCGTGCTAAAGAACGTGCACTCTGACCACACGACAATCACAGAGAAGACAGACAAAACCACAGCCAGTATTCTGTAAAACCATGGTCGCAAAAGACACTCCCAGTACCACTCTGGAAGAGAAAAGAAGAAAATTATTATGGAAACCATAAAGGAGTAATGGGGTATTTGCATTGCTTCAAAATATCTCCATATAAGATACACAATTGCAGAGGAGAAAACAGTAGTTTTACAGTGGAGGGAGCAGGCAGACACCACCCAACCGAATGATCACCAATAATGGGACCAACATCTCAGGTGCCTCCTGCTACAATGCACGATGAGAAGACAGTATCAATGCTGCAGGGTTCCTGCCAACATTACAGAACCGCATCTAATCATGAGAAAACTTCAAACTCAAATCCAGGGGCTGGAAAAAACAAAACTGGCCTGTGTTCTCAAAAACATCAATGTCACAAAACACAGACAGAACCTGCTCCTGAGGAAAGGAGATGGAGGACAAGACAACTGACTACAATGCCCGCCCTGATTTTGACCATTGTACTTGGTTATGTTAGAAAATGTCTTTATTTATATATAAAAAAAAATACACACAGAAACATTTCTGGGTTAAAAGGCATCATGTCTGGATTCAACCTTGAAAAGATTAAGGAAAAATATGTACACAGAGAGAAAGAGAAAAGAAAATAATTATGGTCAGATGTTAACAAGTGGAGAATCTGGGTGGAGGGTATATGGAAATTCTTTGTTAATATTCTGGCAACTTTTTGTTAAATCTGCCTTTAGGTAAAAATAAAAGTTTAAAAAAAGAAGAAGAAGAAAGCTCACAAAACTGAGAAGGCTGCATTTTACTTCATTCATTGCACATTGAATTCCTGGCTCACTCTAGATCTTTTCAACCCTGTTTCCAGCATAATTAATTCCTGGTGATTTCCACAGCCACACTGGTGATACTCCCTTCAAAACTCTGGTCTTCCACTTCCTTCACCTCCTCTCCTCCAATGATTCTGTCCTCCACCCTATAACAACTGCTCTTTCTCCAAGCCTTTGACTGCCAATAACCCCAACCCTCCCTTGTAATCTCATTACAGCATCCCTGTGTCCAAGCAACACCTTCATCTAGTATTCCAACTCTATTGACTGTCTCTGCCTGAACCAACAGTCCATTTATTCTACCACCTTTTCATTGCCACTAACACCTGATGTCCTTTATTGCTTTCTTTACCAGCTCAGACTCCAGTCTTTGAGGCAAACCATTCCCCAATGTCCCAATCCTTTTGCTTCCTCTTACTTCCTTATACTTGCTGAACTAGGTCATGCCCTGGCTACCAATCCGGTGGCTACCCTGAGCCGGCACCTGTGGAGCAGGTCACTGAAGGAGGAAGTCACACAACTTTGTTGGCTCGCCTCACTTTAAATTCTTAATCACCAGCTTCAAGTGGACTCTGAACACTGCCTGGCAAGCCTACTGCAATCCACCAAGTTTCTCCATGCACAGTCTCCTAAGCAAATATTCTGCACCTTCTCTTCTTTCCTCCAAAATCTCTTACTCCCAGAACTTCACTGGAAAAATAGAAGCTGGCCAAAGAAGACCTCCCCAGCTTCCACCGTTACATCTTCTCATCTGCTCAGGTACATCTGTGCCTTACCTCCTAAGGCCCTTCTCTTCATTGCTCACTGTTTCCATTTCATCTCCCTGCACATGAACACTGCCCCCAGCATTCTCTTCTGTCTCCTCAATTCCCTCTTCGATGCCATTCACAAACGGCGTCTATAGTATCTCGTGACCCTGCCATCCTCCCCTGGCTACTACCTCTTGTTTCTATTCCCTTTATGAGGAAAACATTTTGAGAGTTTTCTATTCTTACTGCTCCTACCTGCTCTCCTTTTTATTTTTATTTTTATTTTTAAACTCCAATCTGGCTTTTTATACCCTTATCCGACCTCACCTCTCTGAATACAATGGGCAAGTCTTAGTATTCATGATACTCGACCTACCTGCAGCATTTGAAGAGGTGCTTTATATACCCTTTTCCTCAAGACTTCACTGTCCTAGTTTTCCTATCTCATCGGCCCCTCCGTTTCTAGTCTGTTCTGTGGGCTCCTCATCAACCTGATGCCTAAAGTCTGGAATGCCTCAGGCTTGGGCCTCAGACTATCTCTTTTCTCTCCCATCACTTCTTCACTGGTTTATCCCCACCCATGGTCCACCTACCCATTAGTGACCCTCTCATTTACATTTTCAGACCAGACTTCTGCTCTGAACCCTGATTTCTACAGCCAACCACCTATTCAGCATTGTATTCCTATCTTTATGTGTGTATTGACTGTTTTTCTCCTGCCACAAGGGCAGAAATTTTTATCTTTTCTATTCCTTTGATATATATCAAGCACCCAACAATACATAGCATATATGAGTTCAAATATTTGTCAAATGAATGAAAACAAGTGTCACATCATTCCCTCATTTAATTAGGAAAGATCCTCATTGAAGATGATGTCTGAGAGATTCATTATGACCACCATTATGTGTTCATACTGAAAACCAAACATACAAAAGAGAATCACGTGAACATAAGCATTTATTTGAATATCTAAGGTAAACAGAAGTTTTAATACCATGACACCGGTATTTTCATTAAATTCTTCATATTAAATTCCATAACACTGAAGGAAGTATCATAAATAATCATAAAGGAGGATAGAATAATTGAGTATAGGTTTTGAAAATAGATTAATAAATGTAAATAATTAAAGAGTACTTCTTACAGGAATATTTTTTGTAGTATGTCAAGATTGAAGGAGTGACCCAAGTTTGTGATGTGAAATTACTTAGAATTCTAATTACTTTAAGTATATATTATATATTCAAAATATGCTTGATATAGCACACATATTTTCGCTACAATTTTGGCTGTCTGTGAAGTAACAGTGCAAAATGATAGATTATATGTCAAATGAAAAGTAAAATAGTTTTCTTTGGGGGGAAAGTTTACCAGATACATAATATTACCACTTGGCGTAAGTCAAATAATACAAATATAATTCAACTTCACATTGGTGAAAATATATATATTTTTTTCTTCAGAAAAATTATCATCATTAAACTTTGAAATTTATATCCAATTACATACCAACTGCAGGACTATAAAAATACTGGACAAATCTATTTTCCGGTTCTGGCGACTGAAAGGTGTGAACAAACTGATGAGTAGCACTAGTTTCATTCTTTGCTACATCCTCTAGATAAAATGCTTGTTCCAGAAGGATCTGCCATTGTACTTGAGTTCGACGGTGCCTCTGAACTGAGTAAATAACCTAAGAGAGAGAATAGGGGTATATCTGTCAGTGTTCTGATCCAACGGTGTTCGACTCCCCGTTAAGGAGCACGTTTTGGTTGTTACAACAATGAGAAGTGCTAGTGGCATTTCCTGGATGGGGCCAAGGAAGTTAACATTCGGTAGTATAGGTAACAGTTATGTTCAGTGAATAATTCTCCCTTATTTTCTGTGGGCAGTAATTATAAAATTGACTGAAATATCATTAAGTAATATAGCTTTAATTAATAAAGTTACCTGTTTATGTAATTTCACCAGACTTTTTTCACTTGGATAGGTATTATGCTTTTCATCAAAATCTTCATAATCATCCATGTTCCTACCCATTTTTTCCTGATACTCTGTAGGGCACTAAAGGGAAAAAGTAGATTTTTAAAAACCTTATTTGCAAAAAGATAAAAATTTTATTTTGTTAAAAATCTTTTATTCTGAAGCATTTCTAATTTTAATTTTCTCAAGAATATCTTCCTTAATCGTCATCTCTAAATAGTTGGAGGTTTTGTTGATAACATTTTTTTGAAAATGCTTTAAAAGATGCATTGAGCCCTAGACAGTGGCTCAGCTGGTTGGAGTGTTGTCCCATACACCAAAAGGCTATGGGTTCACTTCCCAGTCAGGGCATGTGCCTGGATTGCAGGTTCCATCTCCAGTCGGGGTGCATACAGGAGGCAACTGATCAATGTTTCTCTCTCGCATTGTTGTTTTTCTCTCTCTCTTTAAAAAAAAAAAGAAGATGCACTGAGTTTATTCTTACCTCTATTAATATTAATCTTTGTGCTCAGAAAAACTAGCTGGGGATGAGTAAGACAGAGGAACATTGCCTACATGAAGCACCTAGTATTTAAAAGGATCTTTCTAGGTAAGCACCTAATGAAACTGTCAGTTATTTTCCCAGCTAAATAATGAAGAAAAATCACAAATAATCCAAGATGTTGAATTTTTTAAAAGAATGGTAGAGAGAAACAAATACATGCCTTAGAGTTATCTGCCCTGCTATTAGTCACCTATTATCTATACGAACTTGAACAAGCTAGTTAACTTCTCTGAATAGGTCCCAAAAAGTATCAAATATGAGAGAAATGATTAGAGAATTGATTATCAAGACTATTATCTTAGCCAACAGAACACTAGCTAATACTCAATATAATGAATTTAACCTATAGGAAAAGAGATAGTTCCGTGGTTCTGTAGCTGTAGAGAAGATATTTGGGGAACTTATGTGTTGAATAATCATTTTTGAAAGTACATGAGTACTCTTAGTGCAATAACAACACAGTAAAATCTTAATTGTGTGGCTTCTTATATAAATATCATGTTAAATATCTCATAATGTCATTTATTTTAGGAAGCTGACCAAAAGAGATTATTAAGACCCTCACTTATTTTCTTACAGGAGATATGCCTTTAGTGGCCACATTCAATGACACTTCATCACTGTGCTGTGGCAGTTGTTTCTCATACATTACTAAATGTAGCCTCTATATCCACATTTCAAAGCAAAACATTGCCAATAATTAATGTTAAAGTTGTAATGCAAAGGAACAAATTCTGTGTACACATTACTACTGATTTATGGTCAGTATTTCCATGAAAATGAAAAGCAGTTGCAAAGACTTCAGTCATACGCTGTTTTCATACTTTCCTGATGTTTTTATTATAAAAAGTTATATTTCAAAGGAAAATAGATGCCTATATGATTAATTACCTTTTTAAGTATTGTGTCAACACATTTTCTCAATGGGTGGTTATACTTGATGCTTTCACTCACTTTACGAACCTCCTGTACAAATAGTGAGAAAAATAAAAATATTTCCATTTTTATACATTGGCTGTTTCAAATCAGAATGCTCTAGGTACCATATAAATATATATATTCTCATAAGTTTAACTTCAACTCAAAGTATTTAGCATTTACATGAAGTTGCATGCACTGAATAAAAGTTCTTAAGAACACAAGTAAAAATACATACGAAGTTACACAAAGTGGGGCAAAAGTAGGTTTCAGCTGTGAGTTTAATACAATAATTAATTAATAATAATACAAAAACTGTTTCACATACTCACAACTGTAAACCTACTTTTGCTCCACCTGGTATAATAGTTCTCTGTATATCCTCACACTTCCTATTATCTTCTAGGTTTACTCTCTTATCATTTTCTTACTTGGCACACAAAGATGGATAAACATCATAAAAAAGTCACGAAGGATTAAACAAACTTTGAGTCCCAAAACAACAGGACTATGCTCCTTTACCTTGCTTATCAACTTAATTATCTCATTATCTAAAATACAGTGAAGAAACCAGAGGCAGCAGAACAGGTCCCGATGTCACAGAGCACCCACTCCTTTCCAGTGGGAGAGCACACAGCTCATTATTCACCCCATGTCTGTCTATCAAGAGCACACTACAGGCCAGCACTGTGCAATGTGTAAGGTCATCACATCCCACACCAGAGAGTAGGGTGGGAAGACATGGCGTCATAGCTGTTTGACTAAGATCAGAGTCTAGTGATAAAATAATTAAATAAGCAATTTTATGAGTATGAAAGGCATAAAGGGGTTGGGGAAAGGAATCTTTAGAGCCAATAGTTCTAAGAGAATCATAATATTCTATAATTTTAATAACATTTTGTAAAAGTTGGAACCACTGTTCTAGATAGAATAAACAGCATGTACAAAGGCTGGGAATCAAGGAGGAACCAAGCAGAAAATTAAAAAGAACATTCTGATTGTTGGGTAGAGAATGGTCTTAAGGGATATAATACCGGAAGCAGGAAAACCATCTGGCATATAAAGTTATGAAAAAATATCTGTGACTTATATGACAAAAAGTACTATCATTAATATAGGGAGAGCTCTTGCAAATCAACAGGAAAATGGAAGAATGCAGAAGAAATGCAATAGGCTGATAAATGCCGGAAAAGATATTCAAGCTCACTAAAAACAATTATGAATTTTAAAATGAGAATGATTTTCTCACAAAATCATAAAAAAATGTGGGGAAACCAGCCTCCCTATACACAGTAAAATGTGGGAGGTAATTTAGAAACACCCATCAAAACTTTACACATGCAGACCCTATGAATAATCCGTATCGAAGGACACTGCTCCTGTCAAGCTAAATGAGCTTGAAAACACATTATTCAAACAGGAATGGGGAGGAGACTGCTGTATAATTTATGATGGACTGATTATTACATAAGAAGCATGAGTAGGAGTCAGCCCATCAAAGGAAGGGCAAGGATATTCCACACAGAGGGGCAGCATGTACGGAGGCCTTGAAGCAGAAAGGAACAGTTTCAAGGAACCAGGAGTCCAGTGTGGCCTCGAGGACAGGAAGAGTGAGGGCCTGAGAAGCACTGGGCCAGCTGAAGAGCGACTCCAGCAAAGCACTTCTGCTGTCCTCAATGACACTTTATTTTGAGATGAATGAGTAAGGGCTAAACACGGGGGTAATGAGGTGAGACTTGGGTTTTTAAAAGGTGCTGGAAGCATCATTATATTACAATTATTCATTACTACACTACCTTAAAGTTTTCTTGACTTGTTAGTAAAACTTGAATATGAACTAGTTATATATTTACATCTGAAATATTACATATTTCCTTTACATTCTTTCATCATATTAAACCAAAGTAAGTACTGAAACAGTTAACTATGGATATTTCCTATATTTGTTACAGAAGTAAGTTTCCTTCAAAAGTTTATAGTTTTTACAAAGTGTGGAAGGTATTTGAAATATTAGCTTATTTTCTTCACATAAAATAACATAACTTTGAGCTCTGTCATTACTGTGCCTAATCGATTCTTTACTACACAGGCCAGACAACATGCATGAAGTCAGGCTAACAGGCAATTTTCAGCAGAAATAAGCAGCTATTGTTCCCTCTCCCAAATCCGCTTCCTTGAAAAATGACAAAAGGTAGAAGTGACTTCTTTGGCCAGGTAGCAAATACCCTTTGAAGAGTTTGACATGGCTTATAAATTTTATTAATGCTTCAAAGAGAATAATACACACACGGATGTAGTATACATTCACTTCAGAGAGAAACATAAAAACACTAAACTGGTCTTTATAAAACTGCATTTGGAAGATTTTATAGGTAGCTGAAAAACACAATCACTAATTATAAAAAACATAGGTGACTGAACTTTGTGGTCTGTTATAACATGTATTGAAACCAGTGTGCTTTCCCTCCAAGTACACTACACATATTCACATGCTTTTCCATGCTCTACTCTGCACACCTCCGCCAGACTGACCACCCTACACCGCAGGATCATGTCTCCTCCCTGCTTGCAAGGTGCAACGATTCCTCACTGCTTTCAAAATATGGTCTGGACTTTTCAGCGTGACAGTCAAGGCCCCGCTACCTGGCAACAACGTGTTTTTCAAACCTTACAAGCTTGATCTTTCCAACACAAACCTTACGCTCAATTAATGTGGTTTTAAAACCTCCTGATATCTAACCAGGATGCTGCCAGTTATAGAATATTATACCCATCCTTCCTGGCCCAGCTCATATTTCATGCCTCCTCTGATCACTATTCAGAAGTAAGACCTCTCTATACTTGAGCATTTCCTTTGTATAATTCACATCACATTCACCATCTATAATAATAAAAGCATAATACACTAATTAGACCGCACATCCTTCCAGATGACCTTCCGATAAAGCCAGGGCTGTGAGGGAAGCCCGGGTCCTGGGTGCCTGCCCATGGACGGACGGAAGCTGGTGCTAGCAGCCGGGGGAAGGAAGGCCTACTCTTGCACGAATTTCGTGCATTGGGCCTCTAGTATAATATAAAAGACTGTACAGTTCTCCAACGCTAGATAGTTAGTATTCTAATGGAGAATGAAGTAGGAATTAGCTAAAGAGAGTGAAGAAAAGAGCATTGCAAGAGTTTGGGAATAATGTGCTCAAAGAGAAAAGAGGCAATGAATGCAGTGGTTAAGAGTAGGGGTCAGAGGCCTGGCTGGCATACCTCAGTGGTTGAGTGTCAACCTATGAACCAGGAGGTCATGGTTTGATTCCCTGTCAGGGCACATGCCCAGGTTGTGGGCTCAATCTCCGGTAAGGGACGTGCAGGAGGCAGCCAGTCAATGATTCTCTCTCATCATTGATGTTTCTATCTCTCCCTCTCCTTTACTCTCTGAAATCAATAAAAATATATTCTAAAAAATAAAGAGCAAAATTTAAGTCTAACATCCATCTGTGTGCTAACAACAAGAACAACAAACTAACGGTGTATCCAAAAGGAGATGCAGCGTGCTGTGGATTGCAAGGTTTCAACTTCTTACCTCCATGACATCTTCTAAAGTCTCTTCTGCATCTGCTTTCTCTGTCATCAATTTGGCTGCCTTAAAATACGTTTTCATCAGTAGATAACCTCTTTTTGCTCCATTCCAGTATGACCGAGGGATTTCCACCAAGCCATACCCCAACAGTAACACAAGAAGAAAGAGACCCCATGTGTTTGCAGCAGCGATCCCAATCGTCTGAAGCTGGTTCCTAAGAGGACAGAAGCAGAGAGCTGTGATCAATTTTCCAACAAAACAGTAGAATTAAACTAACTGGTGTTAAATAGTTTTTCAGGGAACCATTACCCTAAAGGATGGCTAACATTTCATATGAAAAAATTAAGACCTTCAAATCCTCAACTAATAGTGGATGTTATTCCATATTTTTCTTCTTAGTAACAATGGATTATTCAGATATTCTTTTTGAGGAATCTATAAAGCACATAATTTGTTATGTTTCTTGATGGAATGTGTTTACAGCTACAAATATGAGATAAAAATTTTATAAAATGGAAGTACACACAGAAACAATGTTTCTTACCATTCTAAGTGCAAGTGTGGGTTTACAGCTACATAAATTAGAAATGCTCCAAAAATCAGCAAGTAGGTGCCATAATAGATCGCATTCTCAATCAGTGCGGTTTTGATCTTCCCAGTGATGGAGAACCCTCCTGATCGTGCATATGACTGCATAAAAGGTAAGAGAATCCTAGACAGTTGGAAAAAACATGATTAAAAACACTTGATATGTCTTTGTAATTTCAAATACCAGAAATATGTGAATCTTAATTTTAGTGTATAGTTCTTTTCACAAATATGATTTTGAGTAATTATTAATACCAAACAAACTTGAATATTTTTGTAATATTAAATACAGGGGAGAACAGAGCACATTCCTGGCAACAACAGAGGCCACAGTAACCAGCAGAAGATATAACAGTGAGTGATTTATGATGAGTCTAATACAAAGGCTTGAAAGCCTTTATGAAGAGCTTGGACTACATCCAAAGAGTAAAGAGTAACCATTTTCTTGAACCGAAAGCAGACATGATCAAATTTAGTTTCCTAAAGACTGATAAGGCTTCAACATGCAGAATGCACTTGAGAGAAACAAAATTGGAACTATTTTTGTGGTAAAGACAGGAGAGGAGAAGACTCGTTGTCAATACGCTGATTTTGAAGTTCCTAGGACACATCCCCAAGGAGCTGCACAGGAAGTAGTTGGCTATCCAGCTTCTTAATTCAGGAGCCAGGATTAGAAATACAAATAGACTCAGAGTCCTCACCATATCAACGGTACCGAAGTAACATCAGTACATGAGTTCTGGAAGGGCGAGTATGGAGACTGAGGAGCAAAGGACTGAAGCTGACCCCTGAGCAATACCTAGTTTTAAAGGAGAGGTAGAAAGGCAAGAAGAGGGGGGCCAGCAAAGGAGACTCAGCCAGAACAGCAGAAAGGCATGAAAGAAAACCAAGGAGTATGTATGGGCAGAAACCAGGAGAAGCACGTTTTAAAGGGGAGAGAAAACAACAGAATCAAATGCTGCCGAGAGGTCAGGAAAATTAAGAAATGTGTGTGTGAGTAGAAAAATGGGGGCAGAAAGGAGCTCAGTGAATTGAGGAAAGAGCAAGCAGTGAGCAAATGGAGGCACTCAATCAGACAATTCCTTTAAGAAGTTTGTCTGGGTAGGATAAACTATGATACATTCATAAAATGGAATATTTTATAGAAATGAAGAATACTAGTACACATCACACAACAGAAAAGAATCTTCCAAATATATAAGCAAAATGAGAGGCAAATGTATACTGTATACTTCTGTTTCTAAGTTCAAAACCAGGCAGAACTCATCCCTGGTGAGGGACGTCAGAATCATGGTTCTCTTCGGGAGGGTGAGCCTGGGGAGGGGCAGGTATGCGGGAAGCTTCTGGGGACTTGGTCAATGTTCTTCATTGTCATCTGAGTGCTGGCTACACGGGAGTGTTCACTTTGAAAAAAAGTCAAACTAAACAAAACCTGTGCAGTTTTCTACACTAATTTATACTTCAATTACACAGTCTCCAAGAAAAATGTAACTGTTGTAAGGAATAAATCATTAAGGTGGAAGTTAGAAAGTTGGAGAGGGTTTGACAAACTTTTTTTGTTTATTTTTTATTTGTTAAAGGTGAGAGAATTGTGCATGCTTTGCCAAGCACAGGTGAGTACAGGTAACAGGAGCTGGAGGGAATGGGTCCATATTTCAGGAAGAGGGATTAATGTTAAGAGTGGGGAAGGAAGGATGGGGAGAGGGGTGGGTACATTTGTGGGTGAGAAGCTAAAAGAGCTGCCATCTGATGGCTTTTATCTTTACTGTGAGGTTGACAGTAAAGATGGTCAAGGAGAGAAGGCAATGTTTCTAGGATATGAGAGAGTCACAGGGGAACAGCAGAGGCTGGAAATGACTGGAAAGCTCTGTTGTGAGAAGAGCAAGCAGACTGGAGAAAAAAGGAACAAAGCCTGGCAACACGGAGGGCCGGCGGAGTTCACTGAGCATCAGTTTACAGGGGCACGACTCTCCCCTGCCGCGTGGGTTTGCTCTTGCTACGTTAAGACCTCTCGTTTTAGAGCTCAGTTGCCTGCCGACTTTTTTAAATGTTCAGTAGGCAGTGAAGTGTGAGTCTGCAGCAGAGCCGAAGGACAAAGCTCTAGCAGGTAGAAAAGAAAGATTTGGAACGCATCACAGGTCAATGAGACCACGGCTATAATTAGAGCTATGCAAAGTCAGGTAACATGATGACCACATGCGGACCCTAGGGGACAGTAGGAAACGGACACAGAAGTGGAGCCCAGGAAGGAAGTGCAGAAGGCTGGGCTAAGCAGAGGGTGGTGACGGCCTCCGCAAGAGCAGGTTCACACAACAATGGGGCTAGAAACAGACCGACGTGGACAGAGAAGGCCAAGACAGAAAGCAGTAACTAGAAGGGAAGAGTGACAAGGGAAATTATTCTTTCTAGTTCCTATTTATTGTTTGTGTTTTTCTTTTCATTTCTTTTCTTTTCAGATGGGAAAGACTTAAACAAGCAGAAAGGGAAAGGAAAAAAATTAAGGAAAAATAAGTAACATGAGTAAATCCTAAAATATGAAGGTTCAATGAAAAATAATCACTTTTCATTTTACTCTAGCCAATATCTTAAAATTTTATCCTTCACTACCACTTACCATGTTAAAAACTGCGATGTCCAGTACACTACCCTCCAGAAAATTGGCATGATTCCATCAGGAATGTAACTCCATGGCTTGAAACACGGATGTGGACTGTTTGATAACAATTTAAAGCAAATTAATCATAAATGATGACTCATTAAATGAATTATACAATTAATTTGTATATGGGAAAGTTTATTTGCATTCAGATTTTAAATTATTGACACTAACTTGTAGATTTTTATATAAAATTCAAAGCTAATTGTCAAACTAAACAGACACACACAACAGGAACAAAACAGTTTGGGACACAATGTTCACCCAATAGGCTAATAATGCAACTGTATTTCAAAACAAATGCATTGTGAAATTAAATCTCTGGTATGATTCCTTTAAATACTGATGATTACCTTTAAAATACACACTCACTCCATTTGTGGGGTTGGTTATTTTGGGGAAGGGGAGCGGGGAAGAGAAAGACATTGGGTGTTTAATTCCTGGAAACTGAAATGCTAACTAATCAGTTACTCTGGCATAACTCCTATGGAGACATATGCCAGCATCTATACACAATTCAATTAGAATTTTCTGACGATACGTGTATCTGACCATAGATCAGTGATGGCGAACCTATGACACACGTGTCAGAGGTGACACGCGAACTCATTTTTTTGGTTGATTTTTCTTTGTTAAATGGCATTTAAATATATAAAATAAATATCAAAAATATAAGTCTTTGTTTTACTATGGTTGCAAATATCAAAAAATTTCTATATGTGACACGGCACCAGAGTTAAGTTAGGGTTTTTCAAAATGCTGGCACGCCGAGCTCAAAAGGTTCGCCATCACTGCCATAGATCCTTCCATTAACAGCCTTTCTAGAGTAGACTGTAAGGGTACCCTTTAGTGCCAGGGCTTTCCACATGCACAACTGCTGCTTCTCTATGTCCAATTTTTCATGATGCTTCAAAGGCAAGTGCCTACATTTTAAATTTACCCTTATTCGAGTTAGATTTAAAAAATAAGATAAAAGTCACACAAAGAAGCATGCAAACACTCCTTAAAGCATTGACAAAAAACACAGTCAACGTTTATTAGCTTTCACTCTGAGCCAGCGTGCACTGGAACAGTAAACTACCCATGCTGCTGGGAGTTAGCCATGTTTAGCCAGTTGTGTAATTCTTTCGGGAAGGTAACTGCTACGAGCAGAAGAGAGCTGACAATTTTCAGTGCAAAAATTAGAAGGCAGCATTGAAATCAATGATGAGAAACTAATTTACGCTAAAATGTTTTCTTAAGAAAACCTGCCATTCATTGTCTTTTGTATTATGCGATTTCTCTGCTGGATTTTCTCTTTTACAATTAAATGTGCTTTTGTCCTGTGAGCCACCATCTACTTTACTACTGGCCACATGGTTTTAGATTCTCTTCAATAGTGGATCTTGTGGGCTGCAAAAAGTATGCAATAGAGACATAAACATATACTTCTCTCCTACCTTCCACATCATTTTCTCAATAAGACCCATTTGTAAAAACATGTTTAACATTTTTTGAAATAAAAAATTCATCTTAGAGTTGAAGGTAAACAAACATACACATACACAAAAAAACACTAGTTTTTTTGCTTGGAAAATTAATATGAATTCAATAAAACCTTTTGATAATTTGAACTTTATTCATTTTCAGTCTAAAACTCCAATGATTTCAAATGATGTGCTGTATGAAAGAAATATCCCACATATAGAATTACCTTCTTGTCCTTTAATACTCGACCTTGCATATTAGGCAAAAGAGAAAATGCATGCCCCATTTTTTAGATCCGAGAGCAGCTGAGATGAAAAATAGCTTTTGGAAATCACATTGTAAAAGGGGTTGAAGCAGGATTAAAAAGTCAGGCCTTCTCTAAGTGTCTCATCAGCATCTACGGAAAGGCCTTGTGCACAACAATAAATATTTAAAATTGATGTGACATTTAATTTTAAGCAAAATACGACGTAAATAAAAGTCTACCAGCAAAGGATGGAGGTGGGAGGAGGGGGTGAGTAAAGAATGAGAATAAACTTTTATAAATATAAAATCCAGATGGTAAACTGACAATTTTTGAACAATTTGCCTTCTACAATATGTAAGGAAGAAAGGAAGGAAAGAAGGGAGGGAGGGAGGGAGGGAGGAACCGAAGGAGGGAGGAAAGGAGGGAAGAATACCTTGGAGCTGGGGTGGCCGTCGCGTACAAGCCTGTGATGTTGCTGTTCTCAGGAGGGCTTGAGTTGGCAGCAGCATGCTTGCATCGGTTGTATATTGTCTAAAGCAACAAATACATGGTTTAAAAATGAAAATCAAAAGGTTACCAAGAACTTTCGGGATATTGGAGTGTACTAACCTATCGACCCAAATGATCTTCCTGGCTAGGCTTTTTAGTGATCAAATTCATATAACATTTAAATTGAAAATAAGTATAACCTTACATAATTTAGTAGTCTTGGCTCTAACATCTCTCCAACAGGCTGTATGGTTACAATTGTCTTTTAAATTGTGAAAATCAGTTTCACCCCTTACCGTACTGACGTCCAGAGGCAGAATGAAGACGATAAGGAAGCAGAGATACCAAGCTAGCAGTGTCCCGACAATTACAAGTCTGTGCTGCTTCTTAAAGTCTCCGTATCGATGAAGTAGAAATAATGCCAGAAAAAAAACAAAAACAATCTCGAGTCCCAGAGCCGCACCACTCATTATTGAACGCTCACTCGGACTGACCGAAGTAACTCAGTACAGGGCTGGATCATATCTGTAAACTGAAAAAAAAAATGCAGTATTAACATAGGGCACAACCACTTGGGAATTTCCTAAATATTGTTTATTAATGCATGAGTAAATTCTCTGGAAAACTGCCAGGCTTTACAATGGACTACGAATAAGGTAGAAAGGATAATTCCTACTCTCAAGTTCTTATATCTTACTTTTAAAGCATATCTTGAAATTTCACATAAGTTATATCTTCAAGAAAAAAAGATATTTTAACAAAATTTGCATTAGTTCTAAAAACATTACAAACTAAGAATACTAGCTGTGAAGTTTCAATTCAGTGTCATTTGGAGCTTACTGCTTAATGTTGTAAGTCCTAAAAGAAAATCTTATACGAATTTACTACTGACTAGCACTAGATAGATCCTAGGGAGTTAGATATTTTATAAAATAAAGTTTTCCAAGTCATCCAAACCCATTTCCTAAAAGAGGGAGAGACAGAAAGAGAGATGAAGAGAGACTATTTGAAAGTAACATTTCTTTTATTTGAAACAGTATTTTTCTTTATTGCTAATCTTATCTAAAAACTTTCAGAACTTGAAATTCTTAATTCCTTTACTGCTTCACAAAATATACTTACCACTTTCCATATCTATATAAATCTTATTTTCTTTTTAAAAGTTAGTTTACCTATTTTATATGCTTAAAAACTTATCAATGACTATTGAACAGTCATATATTAAAATTATTTTTATTATAAATGCTGATGATAATAAGCAAATAGTTTAGTTAATAGAGATAAGCAAATAGTTTATCTGCTATCTATTTACTCTTATAAAATAATTTACCTTGCCCGGCCAGTGTTGCTCAATGGTTGAGCATCAACCCATCAAACAAGAGGTCACATTCCTGGTCAGGGCACGTGCCAGGGTTCTGGGCTGGATCCCCAGTAGGGGGTGTGCAGGAAGCAGCCAATCAATGATTCTCTCTCATCATTAATGTTTCTATCTCTCCCTCTCCCTTCCTTTCTGAAATCAATAAAAAAATATTTTTTAAAAATAATAAAATAATTTACCTTTACTAACTGAAGGCAATATGTACTTTTCACCTTTGTAAAATCAATGCTAGGAATTTTTGTTTGTCTATGGATTAACTAAATATTCCAAGGAATTGATTAATTCATTAATTAACATAGAAAAAAGATTGTGATGTCACCCACCAAAAGAAAATAAGGCAGAATTAATAAAATACTTCTAATCAACAAACATCTCCAACCAAAACTAGTTATAAAAAGAACAAAGAACGTTTGGTTACTTTACAAGCTAAACTTAAATCTATGTGAAAAAATCATAAAAACATAAAAGTGATATTTAATAAACTATTTTCTTATTTCTTTATATTGTTGAAGTAGTTTCTTTCTATTCCTCTGTGCATTTCAACCAAATTTTCATTTTTCTTAAGTATCTAAAATTGTAACTCTTTTTTTTTTTTTTAAATATATTTTATTGATTTTTTACAGAGAGGAAGGGAGATAGAGAGTTAGAAACCTCGATGAGGGAGAAACATCGACCAGCTGCCTCCTGCACATCTCCCACTGAGGATGTGCCCGCAACCCAGGTACATGCCCTTGACCGGTATCGAACCTGGAACCCTTCAGGCCGCAGGCTGACGCTCTATCCACTGAGCCAAACCGGTTTCGGCAAATTGTAACTCTTTTGTCACTATCATCATATCCTGCTATATTTTTATACTAAGCACTTATCCACCTGATGGAACATATATTCTTTAATTTATTGTCTCCTTAAAAGCCCTCCTTCTTCCCCTCCCCACTCATACACAGATTCTATGAGAGCACAGACTTTGACAATTTTATTCAGTACTATATCCCAAGTCTCTAATATAGTGTCTGGCATGCAGTAAATATTAAAAAATATTTGTTGAATGAATAAATGAATAAAAAACATCACTAGGCCTGACCGGTTTGGCTCAGTGGATAGAGCATCGGCCTGCGGATTGAAGGGTCCCGGGTTCGATTCCGGTCAAGGGCATGTACCTTGGTTGCGGACACATCCCCAGTGGGAGGTGTGCAGGAGGCAGCTGATCGATGTTTCTCTCTCATCGATGTTTCCAACTCTCTGTCACTCTCCTTTCCTCTCTGTAAAAAATCAATAAAATATATTTTCAAAAAATCACACATCACTATTTACTTTAGTATATACACTTTTTATTACTGCTGACTTCAAAGGCAATGTAAAACTTGTTTTGGTCTCCAAAATTGATTTTATAAATACTTATTACAACTCAAAAGGCTTAAAAATCTATTCATTACTACTATTCAAAATTTCAAAATCAAAAAATGTACACCAGTACAATAAAAATAAGTCAGATCTTATTTTTAAGCCAAGAATAGATTAAATTGTTGGTTAGGCAATATCTCAACGTAGGCTGTGCTGATGAAACCATAACCATCTTCAAGATCCAGCTTTCAAAAAATTGTAATTCAATGTTAATTTAACATAATTATTACCTGAAAATTTCCTTAGGGTTTGACATAGATATTTATTTGCCTGAAATTGTCCAGTGCAAGGAATATAACAATCATAGTAAAAAAGACTCACTATCAGAGATTATCAAGGAAATGCTAACTAAAGTATGGCAGAATCAAATAGAATATTACTGAAGTATAAGAAATGCTTGTTAAGATTATCTAATAACCTTAGAAAATTACCATAACATTAACTGAGAAACTAGATCCACACATTTTTACATAACATGCATAAAAATAAGGCAATGAAATATATGCAGATTTCAATAATAGGTGGTAAGATTAAGGGCATAAACAAACAACAAAACCACAGTTATAAACACAGAGCTTGCTAATATTTTTTTACGATGACTGCTTTTTTAGTCTGTTTCATCACCAGCACTTTATGTTATGGAGGAATACACAGAATTACGAGTCTTTTATTCTAGTAATAAAGAAAGGATCTGTTTCATCTCTTCCCATAGTCATTATCTGAGTCTCCTACTGCTGCTGTAAACAATCGCTGTGACTTGGTGGCTTGCACAACACACCTGCCTCACAGTTTATGTGGGTCAGATATCTAGGCACAATGTGGCTCAACTGAGTTCTCCAACTTGAAATGAAGGTGTCAGCAGGTTTGTGTTCCTCTCGGGAGACTAGGGAAGAATCCATTCCTCAGTTCATTCAGGCTGCTGGCAAATTCCATTTATGGTTACAGAACTGAGATTCTTTCGGGCTGTCAGCTGGCATCTGCCTTGAGCTCTCGAGATCTCATTCCAGCCTTTGCATGTGGCCCGTATCTGAGAGCCAGCAAAAAACACTCCTCAAGTCCTTCTCACTCTAGGAATCTGACTTCCTCTTCCGCCCTCAGCTGGGAGAAAGTTCTGCTTTTAAAGGCTCCTCTGACCTCACTGGGCTCGCCTACTTCCAGGGACTTCGGTAGCGCTATCCTTCGGGGTCTATTACTGTTTACCACAGCATCTTCCTGTTCAGGGTGAACTCCTGTTGCCTTGTTATGACACAAGGTTCGGCCTGGACCCATAAAATTGGAGGTAGGAACTGGGTTTTCCCTAACCTGTGATGAGGAAAATACTAGTTTTAAAGTCTATATCTTGACCTTGTGCCTAAATTCAAGTGAGGAATCATTTTTTGCAGTCCAGAATTATAGCACTTTCTAAGGTTCCTTATGAATTCCTGTAGCCTGTCTTTATTTCAGCTGACTAACTTCCGGCTCAAAGCTAGGGATACCTCCTTATTCTCCACCTGATATAGTTATTTGCATATTAATCTCATAAAATAACTTCATTAAAATCTAATAAACAGATTGGTCAACTCCAGTTTGGCTTATTAAAAAAAAAACCCTCATTGCCAGGAAGGGCAGCAATTTGGCAATATGTATCAAAGACCTTAAAAAAGGAACATACCCTTCATTCTAGCAATTCCTCTTCGAATAACTTAAAGAAAAACCAAATGGGAACAAAAACGTATATACAATGTTACTTTCTACAGCAGTGAAAACATAGCCCTGCCAGTGTGGCTCAATGGTTGAGCATCGACCTGTGAACCAGGAGGTCAGGGTTCAATTCCCAGTCAAGGCACATGTCTGGCTTGATCCCCTCTCCCTTCCTCTCTACATCAATAAAAATGTTTTTTAATTAATAAAAATTAAAACATAGAAACAATTTAAGTGTTTGTACTAAATAGTCCAGGAAGTCTTAAAAATATCCATTAGCCTCATCGTGGTCCATTGCCTTTTTGAGAAAAACAGGAAGGGTTTCATAAATCATTAACCCTGCTAACTTGGCATGATTGATTGGAGCAGAGGTCTGTGCCTGAATCAAGGACTGCCTAACAGAACCACTCCACTGCAGACAGTGACTAAAGGAGCCCACCAGATTCCACAGACTAGAAGAAAAGGAGACTCAGAGAGACACTGCAGAGATGCCAAAAGGGACCTGGGTGGGATCTGAGGGAGAATATATACCAGAAACACACATATATGCATGGACAAATATACATCGAAATGCTAACAGTAGTTGTCACAAAGTAGTAAAGAGATGACTTCTACTGTATTCTTTGTGCTTTCTTAGGGGTTTTTAATTTTACATCATGAATATGTATTATTTTAACATTTCAAAATCATTTAAAAATCGATATAGTAACATGAAGATAAAACATATGGCAACTAGAAAATAAAAAATTTTGCTGCAGCACTATTAGGTGCCTAAAATTACAACTACTTTAAAATACAAATGTTTTATTATACCATGGTAAACCAACTCTAATTAATAACTGTGTAACTTTATGCAAATGAAACTGTAAGCTGTGATCAGGTGGCTCAGTTGGTTGGAGCATCGTGCTTTACACCAAAAGGTTTCAGGTTCGATTTCCGGTCAGACACATACCTAGGTTGCCGGTTCAATCCCCGGTCGGGTGCGAATGGGAGGCAACTGACCGATGTTTCTCTCTCTCTCTCTCTCTCTCTCTCTCTCTCTCTCTCTCTCTCTCTCTCTCAAATCAATAAAAACATATTCCCAGGTGACA